GAAAATTTCTTAAAAAAATTACTGAATGAAAATTCATAGTAGAGAAGAAAAAAGAAAAATTAATATAATAAAAATTAAAACCCCAAAAACACTTAAATCCAAAAATCGTAAGTATAGAATATGAAAATTTTATTTTTTCTGAACTGAGAAGCTATTCCAGTTCTTCTGCGGTAAGGCGAATTTTATAACTAAAATTCATACCTGAGCTGTAATGCAGTTTCAAATCATTTTTTATGCAATTTAAACATAGACATTTCTTCTTCCACACTTTGCCTATCATCATGACACTGTGCGACGTAACCAAGACAACCGCTAAAGAACTTTTTTCCAGCTGATTACATGGCAGAGTAAAGAACATAATTATTTAACTTAACTGACTAATCAATTGACTGAGTCTGAGTGCCTGTGCACTTGTCTTGCCCGAACAACCGACTCTATCAAGCAAACTCTTTGCTCTATGCTTTATCTTCTTTTTTCTTTTTGCCGCCATCAGCAGCGGCAACAAGCGGTTTCAGCCTGCGGCGCGTTGTTATTCAATACCTAACTGTCATTTGAATGGCATTAGTTTAGAGTTAATTGGAAATCATTTAGAACTGTCCGTCAGACGCAGCAGTCACTGGCAAGGCACCAACCAAGCAGGTGAGCACAGAGAAGAGAGGTAAGGGGCAAGGGATGAACTTAAACGTCAATGAACGGCCAAAAAAGAATGAAGCGGTCATAAAGTGACTATTTAAGTAGCTGCCGCAGCGACTGCTGATTTTGTTGGTTGTGACGAGACAAACCTGTTGCCGGTAGCTCAACTAAAAATTCTATTTAGACACATAACATATAATTTTATGCATATGCTTGTATGTTTGTATGTATTCATGTAGAATAAAATGTTCTTTAGTTTGTCTTGTGTCGTAAATTGTAGATTCTATGGGAGGTGTTGATGTTAGAGTGGCTTAAACAGGAGCGTGGGCTGCTAAGCTTTTAAATTACTGCCTCAGAACTATAGAAATCACAGAAAATAATAAAAAAAAAAATATTTAAATAAGAAAATAATATTATTGAACCGCTTTGGATAGCCATTAGGCTTTCTAGAAGCCATAAACGCGCCCTAAATGCTGATAAAAAGCTTCAAAAATGTGCAAAACACATAAAAAGCTCTGCGAACCTTTAAAAAAATTATAAAGTCAAAAAGCTGAAATAAATAAATTCTTAATGTTATAAATGACAAATTAAAAAATGAAATAAAATATAAAATAAAAAATTAAATATAAATAAACATACATATAAGAAATAAAATAAAATTTAAAGTAATATAAACTAAAATAATTAAAAATAATTAAATTGAAAGAAATTAAAAAATAAAACAAAATACAATTAAAGCAAAGAAAAAAATTTAAAACATAAAAAAAACAATACAATAAAATAAAATAAAATAACATAAAATAAATAAAATGAAATAAAATAAAACAAAATAAAATAAAATAAAATAAAATAAAATAAAATAAAATTGAACCGCTTTGGATAGCCATTAGGCTTTCTAGAAGCCATAAACGCGCCCTAAATGCTGATAAAAAGCTTCAAAAATGTGCAAAACACATAAAAAGCTCTGCGAACCTTTAAAAAAATTATAAAGTCAAAAAGCTGAAATAAATAAATTCTTAATGTTATAAATGACAAAAAAAAAAATAAAAATGATATAAAATAGAAAGTTAAATATAAATAAATAAACATATAAAAAATAAAATAAATTATAAAATAATGTAAACTAGAATAATTAAAAATAATTAAATTGAAAGAAATTAAAAAATAAAACAAAATACAATTAAAACAAACAAAGGAAAATAAATTTAAAAAATAAAAAAAAACAATACAATAAAATAAAATAAAAATACATAAAACAAGATAAAATAAAATAAATAATAAAAAAAAAATTTTAAATAAAGTGTCATATATAAATTCAAAATAAAATAATGCAATATAAATACAATAAGTTAAAAAAATTACATAAATAAAAAAATAAATTAAAAAATTTATATAATAAAAAATAAATAAAAAAAAATTAACATAGAATAAAATATGATTTTAATAAAACAAAATAAAATAAAAATTAAAATTAAATTAAATTAAATTTAAGAAATAAAAGAATGATAGCACATAATATAATATAAAATGAAATGAAAAAAGGAAATGTAAAAATATATAAAATTTAGTAAAACAAAAAAAAAATAAATTAAGTAAAATGAAATAAAATCAATAAAGGAAAACAAAATTAAATTAAATTAAATAAAATACTATAAGAAAAATTAAATTATAATAAAAAATAAAAAATATAAAATGAAGTAAATTAAAATAAAATAAAAAAAAATAAAAAGTCGATGAAATAAAAATAAATAAAAAAAATAAAAAAAAATAATTAAAATTATATGAAATGAAATAAAATAAGAAAACTAAAATTAAATACAGCGCAATTTCTGCTTGCACATCCAGACACACACTCACACACACTCACACATGCTTCCAAAGTCTCAAGTTTCATTCATAATTTCAACAGCGCACAGGTTTTGAAAGTCACTCGCTCGCTACGTCAGCGCTCACTTGAGTTTGGTATGCAACCTTTTTCAACCCTCCCCTTTTCCCCCTTCCTCACTAGTTTCATTCACAATAGCTTGCTAGCTGACTGTGTTGCTGTGTTGTTGGCTTGTAGATTAGTACTGTAATTGCCATCTTTTACTCAATGAAGCTAGCTGTGAATGTATAAATACACATACATACACTACAGCTTACAGGCTTACATATGTAAATGGCGAGATATTAAAAGTTGTTGGAAAAAATACATTTATCTATATGTATTTTTAATTTTAGCCAGACAAAGGTTCAATAACAACGACAAAATAGAATTTTATAGCATAATCTCAAATTATTCTTCTCTTTTCTTTTTTTTTTAACTTCTTAAAGAAATTTTACTGTTAAATAAAAATTGTAAAAAAAAAAAATACTAATAATGACTTCCCAGGTTAGCTTTTAGGTCGCGCGCAACTCGCGTCAATGTTCATTTTATTATTATTATTATTATTTGTTGTTGTTGTTGTTGTCGCTTTGTTTGATTCAGTAATATTGGCATTTTTTTTTTGAATGAATAAATTTATGTAAATTTTTTTAATTTTATTTTTATTTTATGTAGATATGAAATTCGATATAATGGCGCAATAAATCAAAAAATACACATTTCAAAGAAAAAACTATTAAAATGAACAATTAAACAGTTATTATTTATGTGCAGACACTTTTGACGGAAGTTGGACGTTTTGTAGTAGAAAAATATTGAAGAAATCAATCAAGTTTTACACGGGTCATCACAACACCTTAAGGTTTGGGCTTCGAGCTTTGATTTCTTCTCCGTGGTTAGACAAAAATGATCGCCGTTTTTGCGTTAAATAATTATGATGATTATTATAGATTATTATATTAATTTATTTTGAAAAAATTTAGAGTGATCGAGAGCAAATCTAGTCAACAAATCGACTAATAATCTATTTTTTTTGGCAATTAATATATTTTTAAATCTATAAAATCTTCCAGCATACCCACGATCTTGATTTTAAAAGATATTTTATCCGCAGATAATTAAATTTTATTCCATTTCTGAATCATTGGTCCCTTGTCTATCCAGTCGCATTTCGGGGGGCTTTCTCTATGTCGAAGCTTCTTCTTTGGGTGGCTACCGATCTATCGCAGCGGTTGTACTCAGGCCTGCATAAAACTCAAAGGGGATGCTTCTAATCTGCTCGAATCTCTAATGAACCCCATTAAATGAATGACTTTGACGTCGGATTTCTTGCATAGACTGCAAACCTAATACTGAGAGTTGAGTGGTCGTTTCCTCCTCATCATCATTCTTGCAGCATCGTCGTCCTGTAGACTCTAGCCTGTCCAGGTTCCAATTACTTTGGACATCTACCTTTTTTTTATCGCGTACAAATCACGTGCTTCGTTAATATTTTTTATTATTTTCTTCATAAATATTTTTATAATACGATTTGCCGCAAATTTCAAATCTAAGTTGAAGTAAAGAAATCCAGGCCATTGGCCAGGCAAGGAACCTATTAAATCTAATGCCACTTCTGATTTCTGTTGATATTTTTGTCCTGTCGGAGATGATAAATTTTTTATCACCTTTGATTTATGCAAGCCAACAAATATTGATTTTTGCCAGAATTCGATTTACTTTTTATCTGTATTATTCGTTCAAGAATTCCACATGAAATATGTCAGTGAATGAATTTTCAGATTGTCAACCAGGAAAAGGGTCACAGAGGTGACAGTGTAGCCTGAAAAATACAATATTAAATAAGAAAAGGACTGAAAAAAGGGACTTAAAGGTTAAGGTATTGAGGTTGTTGAAAACCGTGTAGAGTAGGAAAGGCATTAGAGAGTGTTGAACTAAGCTTTTTTGGCTTTTTTTTTAATTTTTTATAAACGAAGTAATGGCGTAATGATGTCTCTTCTGCTGTCTTCCTCGAGAAATAATCCTACACTATCACCTTACATCTCATTAGCTCCTCTCTATCTCTCTCTCTCTCTGACTCACTCACTCTCTCTCTCTCTCTCTGACTCTCTCTCTCTCTCTCTGACTCACTCTCTCTCTCTCTCTCTGACTCACTCACTCTCTCTCTCTCTCTGACTCTCTCTCTCTCTCTCTGACTCACTCTCTCTCTCTCTCACTCTCTCTCTCTCTCTCTATCTCTCTCTCTCTCTATCTAACTCTCACTCACTCTCTCTCTCTCTGACCTCTCTCTCTCTCTCTCTCTCTCTCTCTCTATCTAACTCACTCACTCTACCCTCTTTGACTTTCTCTCTCTATCTTCGCTCTCTTTCCCACATCATTGCCTTAACCCTGCTATGCATCTGGGTGTTATTTAGCTATGCATGCCAACACCTAGGTGAGGCTATTAAGAATAAAATAAATGGAGTTACTTAAAAAAGTACGACATTGTTGACATTTCCGACAGAACTCGTCATAAGAAACCAAACAACAACAATGACGATAATACAAACAGCAACATCCAAAGCATACAAAAAAGTAAGAGCGAACGTCATTGCAAGTAGAGCATTTAATGGCAGTAAATCGTAAAACATTGTTACGAATGGCCACAGCTGCAGATGCAGCACTGAGCAAGGCAACAAGCAACAACAAGAAATATGTGTGCTACAAAGCAACTGTGGAAAAAAGAGTGCAGCAAGAGAGGAGAAAGGGCAAGGCAGCAGAGGAATGTGAAAATATGCAGCGTGAAAAATTCCAAGCACAGCATGACTTGCTGACAACAACAACAACAACAACAAAAATGGCACTAAACCAAGCAACGCATACGAAAACAGGAAAAAGAGACTGAGAACAAAGGCTCAGCTTTGCTTTACATAACATCAAAACAGAGAAAAATAAGAAATAAAACGAAAAAAAATCAAACGCAAAGACAAGCGAGTGCAAGAAAAATGATGCAGTTTTATTTAGTTAAGGCAATAAACGCAACACAACACAACAACAAACCGTCATGGCAATGTGGCACGAAAGCGAACGGGCGTTGAAGGCTTGGAATGTACAAGCCGCGCCATTTACTCGGACCGCCGACTTGCAACACGGTGCACAGCTTACAGCTTGCAACAGTGCAACTCTCAAAGCGAAAGCCGAGCGTACTCAAGATGCAAACAAATGACAAAGCGTAAGTATAAAAAATAAAAATGAAAAATATAAAAAATTAAATAAATAGTAGCAATACGAAGCAAACGAGTATAAGTAAGGCAAAATGCAAATGCAAGCAAAAGAAACAAAACAATTTATAACCAAGTGTTGAAAGGGACAAAAATGCTTGCAACATGAGTCATGTCTTGTCAGCAGTTGATTGCTGTATATGTATTTGTTGACGTTTGCAGCTAAGCTTTGTGATATATGCGAGTAAAAAAAAAAAAGCAAAAAACTAATGGAGAGGATAGGATAGGAATGGTTTGGAGAAAGTTTTTGCAAAAATCAAAATTTATTGCACATTCAGAAAGCAGAGTACAGGAAAGGAAAGAAATTTATATTATTTTCATCATAGTAGGTCAACACTAAGGTGAAAATTTCTATTTCAATTTAAGCTTTAAAGCTCTATTTAGATATGCGGCATGGCTGCTGAAATATAGATTTAAAATAAGATTTATAACAAATAATTGTTAATGCCACTTCTGATTTTTTAAACACAATTTTAATTCAGGCAGCTTTGCTTCAAATATTTTTCGCTTAATAAATTTTTATCCACTTCTGATTTCGGTTGGCTAAATAAAATATGGATTTTAGAAAGCTGTTATTCAATAATTTATGAGATACTTACCTGAAAACTGATTTTAGTCGCCAAAAGTTTCTTTTATAACAGGAGTAGTCCATTAATTTTGCAATAGATGGCGCTAGTGAGCAGTATCGTGCATTCTCTAAGTGCGAAGGAATGTTAGGTTTTGTGTTTGGTGGTTTTGGGAAGAAATCATGCACTATGAGCTGCTCATAATTCATACTGTCAGCAATTGGACCATCTGAAGGAAGCACTCAGCCAGAAGCGCGAAGCTTTGGTCAACAGGAGTGAATTTTGGCTCACCAAGGCAACGGCAGCCTATAAGCTTTCAATATATTTATCTCTTATTATATTTATATTTATATATTTATCTGTAATAGTTGTGTTGCGTTGATGTGACTTAGGATTAGGCAAAAAAAAACTAAGAAAAATCTTTTACTGCAACCTCAACACATTACGGCTGTGCTTTAAATGAAAGCTCATGATTTTTGTATGAAAGCTTACTATTTTTTTTATGAAAGCTTATTATTTTGTGTATGAAAGCTCATGATTTTTTGTATGAAAGCTTATGATTTTTTATGAAAGCTTATTGTTTTTTGTATGAAAGCTTATTATTTTTTGTATGAAAGCTTATGATTTTTTTATGAAAGCTTATCATTTTTTGTATGAAAGCTAATAAGTTAAGTATGAAAGCTTCTTATTTCAGTACGAAAGCTCATTGCTTTAGCTCACTATTTTTGCATGAAAGCTCATTGCTTTAGTGTGAAAGCTTAATATTTTGATATGCAAGTTCTTCATGAACTAGTGAAAGCATACTCAAGACTACAAATTTGAGCATTTATTACATTATTATTCATTAAATGAGTAATTTAATTAATTTTTGCAATGTACTCTCCTGCGCTGACGTGCTTAAAATATGTATCATTATTAAAGCTCGTATAATTGATTGCATACAAATGTTGTAATTTCATATGCGCGCACATACGCCGAAAACATGGCGTACACAAGTAAATTGACTGACGTCACAATGCATTAGTAAGGAAAAACGAGATAACCAAATACGTTTAAGGCACACAAAAAGCAAAAAAAAAAAACAACAAATGCACAACAAGCGAGTGGCGCGCGGTAGAGATGTGGAGACGACTGCAGTAATAATGAACGAATTTTGCAAATTAAAGCCGCAAAAAATGGTAAAAAAAAATTGCGAAAAATAAACGAAACAAGCAGACGGCAAATGTCAAGCAATATTAACACGATTTTCTGCAACGATTAGCAGGCAAACAAAACAAAACAAAGCAACGAAAGAAAATTATACAAAAAGAATAAAATTAAAAAAAAAAATATTTGCATTTGATTCGGTAAAAAAAAAACTGATCTGCAACAAAGCACATCGCATTGCAACAAAAAAATTCACGACAAAAATAAACAAAAAAATTGAAATGAATTAACAACAACAACGAAAACGAACGCGTTACAAAAATCGCAAAGCATGAAGTTAAACTGAATACCTTTTCGGCCGATGGCGTGTGCGTTGAGCGGCAGGAGGAGTACGAGTAAATAGGAAAACTGACACCAACGAAGACAAGCAGGCTGGCATGGATGGATTGCAAGCGAAAAAGAGTGAAATAAAAGCAAAAACAAAAATGCGAGTGGCCGCAAGCTCATTAGGTAGGACGCTGAGTGGACGTCACTGCACAGTCGTAGCGCCGACTGAAAATGCTTATTTACGAGCCATAATAAAATTAATAAGCTCTTGCAAACATTTTGCACAGTGAGAGTGAGAGAGAGGGAGTGAGAGAAGTCGGAGAGGGATGAAACGTGCGGTGTTGCTGGTTGTGGTGGCGTTGTCAAAAATTTTGCACAACAACAATGCCATGCTAAAGTAAACAAAATAGCAGAGTTAATTTCTTTCTACTTAGCTTTTGAGTGCGCTGAATTTTTGAATTTCTCACTCTTTTTTTGTTAATTTTGGCGGAAGAAAAGGTTTGCACAAGAAAAAAAAAAGGGTCAAGTAATTTAAAACAAATTTCATTTGGGTTGATATTAAATTTCAAAGCGCATTTTTGTGAACTTCAGTGAGTTTTGTGAAGCGTGTATGAGGGTTTGTTCCTTTTCGTGTGCAAATATTTTGGGGTTGTCATTCTAAGAAATGACTCTTAGAGTAGCGTTTTTTATACACTACCGAGTTTCAAATTGATTGAGCTTGCTGCCACTTCTGATTTATGCCCGCTAAACTGTTATTATTTTTATTTATTTTTCAAAATGTTTCCCTTCTTTTTTGTATAAATCCAGAGCATTAAATATTTTGCTGATTTTCGGTAGTCATGAACTGAAGTGCCTCAGCATTTTGTAAGTTCATGTTGAGCACCTTTTTATTTAATAATCCTCTGTGTGTTGACTTCTTATCTAAAAACTTATCTCTTGAAACTTTTTCACATTTTTGATTTTTTTTTTTTTGCCGAAATATAAGTTTTAAGCAGCAGTCTTGTGAAGCTTTTATCAAAAAATCAGAGAATTGAACTCATTATGCCACTTCTGAATTAATTTTTTGCCGAAGAAAAAATTCATTCATATCTAAAGTGAGGTTAGATTGAACTGCTCGACCCCTTCGTGAGTCACACATAAAGCATGCGAAGTGCGTTGCGGTTTGAGCTATTTCAGGTACAATCTAAATTCGGCGCTGTTACGCTTACTGTTGTGTCTCTGGCTTAACAAACTTTGCTGTTCTCTTAGCGATTTGAGATAGACATGTTGGTCTTTCATCCATTGTAATTTGAAATTGCTTTTCGTGATCAAGTAAGCTCAAACTCAGTGCTCTAAATTCTCGTCATTGAGAGCCCTAACAACACCTGAATACCTCTTTGAGGCTTGTTTTTAGTGTAAGATTAGTAAGTACGTGATATTTGCTATTCCAAAGCCCGGTCATTTCTTTTGCATTCTTCATCATCCTGACTGACGGACTGACAAGTTAAAAATAAAGTCCTCTTGTTTAGTTTCCATACATAATTAGAATGGCGGTATATAGGAGAAATATTTTTTGGCTTAAGAAATACTGAAGTGATGCGGCCCTCTGATATCAGTTTCCAATAGCTCCTACGTTCTGAGAACAGACGCCGCACAGGTGCAGAAAATTAAACAGAGTTTCCAGTGCTTTTGAAGAAATCGATGGTAGAGTGCCGTTATGTGGGTAGCCGCGCACTGCAGATCTAACGAAAAAACACTGAAGAGATCTTTGCGCTTTTTCGAAGGAGCGATGGTAGAAGCAAACTGTGGTGAATTGTCAGTATTTTTAAAGGAATTCGGTAGAGCATCAGACAGAGAGAGAGAGAGAGAGAGAGAGAGAGAGAGTTTCAATTTTTCTGCCGTGCAATATTTTTTTTTTTAATTTTGTGTTGTTTCATCGACATTTTTGTGAATTTTAAATACTTACTTGAGAGCTGCTGAGTTCCAAGCGTCTGATACCAGATTTAATTATCTTTATTCGAAATAGTTACCTAAATGGGAAGTTCTTGAACCCTCTAAGATACATTGAATATGAAAAAATAATAATTCCACTTTTGATTATTTTTAATAAAAAAAAATTAATTTAGTTTTATGACAAATTCGTCCCTTGCGTATCTTTATTTTCCTTTCCTTTTCTTTACCATCCTTTTTATTCCATTCCTTTGCTGTATTTTAGTTCTCCTACATTTCTCACCCTTTCTTTTCTTTTCCATTCATTAATTTATCTGAATTATTATTATTCAAAAATAACTATTTAGTCTAATCTTATCATACAAATATATTTAATTTTTTTTTTTATTTTTTAATCACTTAAATGGCGCCAAAAAATTCTAATTAATTAATTTAAATTAATTAAGCTGTTTCGGTTGGACGAGTTCATTTGCATTCTTGAAATGCCTGAAAATACTGTGGAATGCTGACGCCACATGACAAAGCGTAGAAAAAGAATTAATATTCACGAATAAAATATAACAACAAAAAAGCAAAAAAAAATTTAAAAAAAAAAAAAAAGTAAAAAATATAAAAAAAAAAATAAACTAAAAAAAGTAAAAAATAAATTAAAAAGAAAAGAAAATAAAAGAACTTAAAAAAATATATATATAAACACATACCACAAAATGCGACAAACTAATAATCTGTTAAAAAAAAATCAAAGCAACGAAAATTTGCACAAAAAACAATTTGCAAATTAATAAAAATAGAACTGAAAATATTTCAAAAATGCTATATGACATTAGCGCCACCCACGCAGTTTAACTAGGAATGCTTAAGCGACGAATTATAAACTCGTTAAAATTTCGAAACAGATTTTATGCTTTAAAAAAAAAAAAATCTTTAAATTTATTTGCATAAACACACACAAAATTTCGAAACAATAAATCTAAGAGCTAATA